TAACTCTAAATTTCTGAAATTTACAATTTTAAAAATTTTTTGGGTGTTTTCCTACAACTACAAACGTGTAGACAGAGATTTTTCCTTCAAATGCAATTTGTCACCCATAATTAGTTCTTTCGTTAGTCATGTACAGTGTTTTGAAAATCTAAGTAGTTTTTGCGCCAGATTTCAATATGTGCATAGTCACTATGTGAAATTTAAAAAAATAATAAAACACGTTTCTCAAAAACCACTCCACATTTTTTCAACACAGACACTTAACTCTAAAATTTAATTATATCTAAAAATAGGTTTTTATATGTCTTATAAAACATCCGCAAAGATGTCTTGTGCATTCATGTATAATGGAGTTAATTGCATAAAATTACATTCAAAGAAAGAAAATAGGGAAATATAGCATTGTCCGAGCTGTATATGCAACACACTAGACACGTTTCATGCAAATAACGAGTTTTAATTAACTAATTAAATAATTAATTCTCTACTTCAATCACGAATAGCATACATGACGTTTTCGTATTTTCATTGTGAAATGTTAAATATAAATATATGATTCTTATTTTATGACAGATTCTCGACATTAGAATATCAAGTGAAATGTTTTGTGCCATTTCACGTCTGTAAATCATTAATATTGTGCATAAGTAGTAAACGTAAATAGCTGAGATTTCATTTAAAGTTTTGCACTATCAGAGGTGTGATGTACTATTTTAACTTAAATGTACAAACTAAAAAGTACATTGTACCGTGTACTGTGTTTTACCTACTCGTTTCATTATATTATTGTGATTTTACAATGCATATCCTTGCATTCTTTCTTGGAACTTAATAATGGACTTAGGTAATCATGTGGTATAGACACGAGTTCTATTACAACAAAAACTATTATTGTGAAAGAACAATAAATTATATATTTAGTTACAACAATGTTTTATTCCGCAAATACTGATATTCTTTTCCACTAAGAGTAATATTCACTACATAGGCCACTCTGCACCTGGCCGTCGCGTCTCCCAGGGCTCTGCGACATCAGCCCGACGCGGCGGAGCAGTCAGACGCGGCTCCTGCAGACGGCCGCCGAGCTGTCAAAGCGCCGTCGCTCGCTTGCTCATTACCCCAGAGCACACAGGCGCAGCGGGCAGCAGCGACGAGGGGGGGGGGAGGAATTGCGGGGCGACCCGCGGGGGAAGGACTCCGTGTGGGAGGGCGATTGGCGGGAAGGAGGTTTGAGGGACGGGGATTGTCGAGGACGTGGTTTGGGGGGACGAGTTTGGAAGGCGACGGATTTGCTCATGGTTGGGTGAAGGTTTGGCGGGGTGGATTTGGTGGAGACGTGGCTTAGGGTGGTCGGGATTGGACAGGAACGGGGTTTGGCGGGAACGAGGTTTTGGTGGGGAGAGGGCATGACATGCGGAGGCTTGGCTTGGCTTGGTGGGAAGGGGGTGGGCAGAAAGAACATTTTTTGGGGAGGGGCTTGAAGGGTGCAGAGTAATGGAATGTAGCGAGCGGGGATGATGCGAGGCGGGAGTGGAAGGGGAGTGGTAGAGCGGAGGGGTGTGACGCAGGGTTTGGTGGGAAGTAGGCCTTAGCGAGGCAAAGCCAAGGGGGGGGGGCTAGGGAAGGAGTCGCTGGCACCCAGTGAGGGAGAGGGCGAAGCCAGTTAGGCGGAACTGCAAGGTGAGGGCGGGAACTGGCACAGAGCGAGGCTCCAAGCAGTGTAGCGTAGCGGAAAGACCAGACGAGGAAGCAGTACAGAGGCAGAGAGGGTTAGTGCGACAATGATCCAACGAGTAAAGCGACCGAGCCGCCTTGTGGCACACTGGGAAAGATGTAGAGAGGCGGAGAGCATCCACACTCGGCAAGGGGAGGAGGGGCATTGAGACGCCAAGGCTCTCTGGCCATGGCAAGCAAAAGAGAATGGACGAGTGTGCTAGACCGACACTTCTCCCAGGAGAGGGATCAGTAGGACTAGGTACGATTGGAGATGCCCTTCAGCGGAAGAATATGGTGTACATTTCATCGCCTTGAAAATTTAAATTTAAATTGTCAAAAGGTGTAGTTTTCAAGCACATTTGTAAAGTAACAATGTAAAGTCCCTTCGTGGAGTTCTTCTGGAGCGAAAATCATTAAACTAATTATGTTATGAACCGAAAATCTTTCATATCACACATAAGTAATTAGAAATTAATTACTATGGTGAACGGAGTGAATTGAGGAATATTGAGGGCAGGGTTGCGATGTGCAAACGTGCAGCAGCGGTTGCTAGCTGGTGTGCGGCCGTGGAAGGCTGGGGCGGGGGCGGACGCGAGGGCGGCGGCGGAAGCAGCGGCCTGCGGTGTTCCATAAATAATACCCAGGAACGCACTCTTGCGGCGGTCGCGGCCCCGTTGAAAAGTGTTGTGGAGATTTCCATTAAAATCTGACACAAGAGTAACGTGTTTATGATGGGCTGCCGTGATTTAGTGAGCGTGAAGCAGTAGGGGTTAGGGGGATAGGGGAGAGGATCCAACGGATGTGGAGACCCCTAAATTCTACATCGGTCGGCGGTGAACGTTGCGGTCGGGCAGGGAAGCCTTTCTGGGAGTAGCTTGGAGACTCTCAACCCTTCACCACCAGCGCAGCCGAACATTTAAAGTCCTCACATTGTGAAAACACGACGTAATTCAATGCAAAAATTTACATTCTTAATTATCACATCTTTTTTGTTAAAGATGAATAACTTTGATACAAACACAAACTTCCTTTCAGGATTAACTTTTATCGCATCCAAATTTGTTGGATCAAGAATTTGTCAACTAGAATTTTACTCTATTATGGCCTATGAACGATCATGGCCATTTATGTACCTCAAAAATACCCGCTTGAGAACATGTGGGGACCTTTCATGGATCAAAGAGTAAACAATATAATGAAAGACTGGGGTTTGACTAAGGCGGCAGAAGTTTTACCAATCAGGAACCATTGAGAAGCCCAACCCAACTGCGAACTGGAAATGGAATACATTTGTCTGAGGTTCTCCCTTACAGTAGGCAAGTAGTTCAGCGTTCCACACAAACGTTGGAATAGTGTCGACAGAACATTACGCGGTGAATCTCATATAACAGGATATGATCGAGAAGAAGTTCCAACGAGTAGGAGCTTTAATATACTTTGTAATCTTATTTATTTAATTGTGAGAAGTACTTGAATATGAAAGGCATTCGTGAGTACCAAATGCCTGAAAACGTAGTAAGCACTGTGCTAATACGAGTTCATTTCCTATATGTATTTCAGCTTTATCGTTTTGATCTCATGCATCTCTTATCTGCATTTTGTGTCCTATAATCTTGATCTTAGCTGTAAGCTGGAATTGAAATTTTGAACGTCTAATATCTGATATAGCAACGAGGAAGTTAATTCCATCAGGAAACATCTATGCAGCCAAAGCCTAAACTCGGAATACCACCAAGAATTGGAGTTGGCGGAGCAAGCGCGCTGAGCCAAATCGAGGGATCTGCGAGGCGTCTTCATCGCGCGCCCTTCCAAGATCGCCGAGGCGAGCTGCTTCCGCAAGAAGTGAGAATAGATGTCGGGAAATCCAAGTAGCGACACCCCATTACCTAGAAAATAATGGCGAACAGTTGGGAATAGAGCACGTGACTAACGAGGGCTCAAAACTTCATGCTCAGGATATGTTCACTATAGCGCGATGTTTCCCTGGCTCTGCGAATTATAGAAATAATAACTTGCAGATAGACAAGTCATGTGTTGAGTCCCGTTCTCAACAAAAGGTATGTTCGAGTAGGTCAGCCGCCACCGCGCATTAAACATGAAGAAACAAACAAAAACATTGCTTTTTATATATTATAAAATAAATGCAATAAATTACTGAATGAGGTAAAAGCACCACAAAGCGAAAAAATGGAAATAATTTTCTGTTTATCAGTATTCAGTTCACTTAACAAACATGTTTTATGTAGGGGAAAATTTAGTAAGAAAATAAACATTATATTGTAATAAATAGTGAAGAATATGAACATAATACAATTATCGGTTATTTGGCAGAGAGAGAATCTGGCCAGTATATTTTCGTATGAAGCCGCTATTCACCGCCACGCGCCGCTTCTGCTTGCTCCTGTACCCGCATTTGTGGGTTTTAAGAAGAAGTAAGTGCGGAGTCAAAGGAAGTTGTCAGTGCCGTAGGAGCACCGGGCTTCCCAGGCGGGCTAGTAGTCGTGTGGGCGCGGTTTGTTGCCTAGGCTACATCACCCGACCACTCTCAAATTGTTTATTCTTCGAAGCGCGTTAGAAAAACGTCATCGCATATAACGCAACAACAACAACCAGAGAAGACGAAGGAAGGAGCGTGGAATAACATTCTATCACGCAACCATCTACCAAAGGATAAACAGTTAATTCATCTGGGTTTCAGAGACTCGCGCAGAGATTAATTGTAAATATTACTTTTAATTATTTCCGTGTAATATAATGTCTTGTGCATCAAAGTACTTATTTCTTTGCATGATTTTATTGAAGTTGAATCCCAAAGAAATCATTTCGTAGAAATGTTACAACTCATTCTCATGTAAGTAGTAAAACCTTTTAATATTAGTATTACATTTTTTATACCAAATCGAAACTACGAAAATGAATGTATCGACATTAATTCATCTTTACTCAGCAAAGCGCGTAAATACGTATTTTGTTTGAGATGAGGGGAATTAAAATCTGCAAATCAAGTACAAAACAAAATATGAATATGACAAATGGCACTTTATAAATGGAATTCATAAGGAAGGCAGTAAGATACAATAACGAACATTTTATAAATTAGTAGATGAAATACACAAAATAAAGTTATATAACTGTACGTTATAAATATGTTTCACAATCTGACATGAAAGGTACAATAACAAACGCTCAGAAATCAGTAGATTAAATACACACAAAAAGAAAATATTTGCTTCAACAAGCGACAATTAGCTATTGAAGGTTGGTATCCCGGTTCTTTACCCACATCAACGGTGAGATTTAATTATCACTACGAAGACATTTGCCCAAAAGAGTCGCGTGCAGAAAGGTACGGCAGTCGGTCGGTGGCTTCCAGGGTCGTTGGCGACGGCAGCGGGTGCGGGCGTGGCTTGCGCGAGGGCGCGATGGGCGGCCGCCAGCAGGCATGAGAAGGCCTGCAATTTGGTCGGGGCTTTCTTGCTGGCGCGAGTAGTCAGAACTGCCAGGGTTCCGGGTTGATGAAGTCTATAGCGGCCTTGGGAGCTTTCGGTTGCGCTGGAACCAATAGCAAGCGAACATTTTTCGAGGGTGATAGTTCAAATGTCCCTTTGCAAAGCAGATAGCACATTGGAATGGACGTGAACAAAAATGATCTAGGTGATCAAACGTTCGCTCAATTTAAAAGTCTAACCGAATTGATAATCTAAATGAATTTATGAAACAATCTCAAATACATTTTCGTACCAACCTTATTAAACTCTTTGGTTTTTATTTTGAAGAGATCTTAGAAAGTTTACCTTCATTGGAAACGGAAATTATAATTTGAAGTATCCTAAAAATATGTTGCAAAGTAAGTGGAGTTGAAATTACTCGACAAAAAATAACTTATTTCCTTCTACTATCTTTAAAGAAGTAAGATATGGATATTTTCACATAAAATAATCATACATTTTAATACCATCAAACATTATTATCCTTGTGTGTCTTTAAATGGGATACGTTATAAGGTCAGTAGCTGATGACGAAAGGATTTGAAATAAGTGAAAAAGGCAACGTCCATTAGGTTGGACGGCGGAGGCTCACGGTCGCGCTGGAAGATGCAGCCGGTGAGCGGCTTGGCGTGGCGCGCGGCGCGGTGCTTCCACTGCTCCAGGGAGCGCTCGCTCAGCTCGCGCCGCCGCAGCTCCGCCTCCTCGCGCAGCCGCTCCTCCAGCGCGCGCTGCGCCGCCTCCGCTGCGCACATGCCCCCCCCGTCGGAACTCGAACCTAGGGCCTCCCGCTCGGAGCCATTGATGCCCCGAGCCACGAAAATCGGCGCACTCTCGGAAGCGGGATAACCGAATGCTTAGGGGCCCCACCATGTGATTTTTACTTAAAGTAATTTCGTTGATATCCACGCCACCGTCGCTCGGGGCTTGGGAGTGGGGGCTTTCAACACCGCGACCCCGCACTCGATTCCCAGGCGAGGAAAAATTTAACTACGTGCGTTTTGTCTGTCGTTTCCCACTTCATGTATAGCTGGTTGGCAATGTGATAGTATCTCGTAGGTACAGATAATATCAAATAATTGGCTTAAGGGGCTTGCCACTGGTCATGAGGCTGCGACGCCATGGCATGATGATAGCTAGCGACACTTTAATGCCAAAGTACAGTACGTATTCATTGATAAACATCAATTGTTTTAATTACAAAAGTTGTAATTTATTTTCATATTTATTTTAATTAGATTTCTATTTAATTTTTCAATACTCTTTCAAGGTCTCATTGGTTGAGATGGTTGGGGCTCCTTTGATTATTACCCGTCCCGTGTCAGAACTGAACGGAAAAACAAACCGGGCCTCTCATTACCTGGTGCGTTGAGTGTTTGTAATTCTTAGCCACAAGTCCTCAACCGATTATTTATAGAAAGATGGCCCTGCATGTGGTACTTTCGTTGATGAAAAATTATCGGAAACAAGTTCATTGCCTTGTCATCAAAGTGACTGTTTTCGTTTCCGTGAACATCCCCATCAATTCGTGGTGGATATATGAGTACTACAACGATTGCTGAACGAACGAGATATCAGTTTCCTTCATTATATTTCCACTTCGTTATTAAATCTGGATGACGAACAAATCAACGATCTGCATATGACCGAATGGACCAAATGCAAGGCACGAATGTTTAGCGAGCACGTAGTTGTCAGGTCAAATCCCAACACCGGATCCCCAATAATATCCCGTTATATATTACGTCGTTCTTCGCAAAATCGGCCTTAATATTGTTTACATCGCGTGACATTCGATCGTGAATCTCTAATGACGAGGATAATTGTTGGCCTTCGTTTTCCGTTTGAATGGAATCACAATTTATTTTTAGATTTATTTGAAATTACTTGGAGGGAGAAAGATAAATACATGAATATTTTATAACGGAATTATTTATATATAATTTTCAGATAACAGTATTGAATTTCATTAATAAAACGTCGAAAACAAAAAAATTAACTTAAGCAACTTTGAAAGACTATTAAATTATTTTAAAGATAATACAAATTTACAGTTTACTATATAACTAGTGGTCCTACAAAATGGCACCCTCCCTCGGTCTACTTTACCAATGTCTTTGGTCTGGGCTACCTTTTCGGTTTTTCCCTATCCTCTTGCCAGCTTCCATCTATTGCCGACCAAAGTGCATTGTTTTGAAACTTTCTCATTTTTTGGTTTCCTAATAGTAGAATCGCTTCATTTCTTCAAGAGTATTAAAGAAGATTAAAACCTTCTCCTATATGGCAAGTTACGTTGAAAAGTTTGGCGACGTTTTTGAGAAAATGAGATTTAATCATTTCTATAAATGCGAAATTTGTGCATATTAACGGTGGAAGCGATATTTTAAGTAAATCATTTATGTAATTTTTGAAAGAACAAAATAATACTGCAAAATTACTTTTATGTCATCTTAGAAGTGCATTTAGCACTATTCGAACACAAAGTTTGAAGAAAAAATTGGAGCAGATTTAGAAAAAATGGCTTTTGACGTTTTTGAAAATGTGGAAATATGAGATCATTTTCACAGAATACTATTGGATTTTCGAGAAACTTTTCATGACATCATACGAAGCACATGAACGCATAAATGGAAGTTTCCGAACAAATAGCCACTAATGTAAATTTTAAGGACGTGAGGGGCATGTCACAAAAATTAATTTTTGCAATATTTGAAAGAATAAAAGAATATGGGGTTTACGTACTCTTATGCACTAAATTTAGCATTATCTCAGGGATTTTTTTTAATTGGGAGATTTTTTTTAGAAAATTTTGTTTTTGTTATTTTTAATAATGCACACATTGCAAGCAATATTGTTCAAAAACTACTAAAATTTTTAAAATATGTAGATGACCGTAATGAATTAACTATATTTGCGGAACAAATTTCATTTGAAGGAAAAAGGTTCATCTTCAATATTGTAGTTGTACGAAGCCACCGAAAAATTCAGTCTTTTGCAATTTTCAAAAATTGAGTAATTAGTGAATTTCTTAATTATACCATCTTTATAAATGTATTTTACTTCATTTTTACAAGATATGTAAAGGGAAACGTTAAGCCATTTTTTTAGAAAATTTTGACAATGAGGCAGGGACTTCGTGTAAAGTACCTCGAAAATTTAATGAATGTTTTTCAAATTCGCAGAACTTCAACGTAGACCAAATCGAAAGTGGTTTATTCAGTTTGGAAAAAAATAGTACGTATAGTTTAAGACCTAGTGTTCTTACATACATCAGGTCAATGGAAGGATGGACGGTCGTTTTGCCGTCAATCGATTTTTCGATATCAAGGACCCACAAAACACTGATTCTGGCTACACAACGTGTTAGAAAGTTTTTTAATTTAGCTACTGGATTTATGCAGTTTTTCAGGGCCGAGTAATGTTTTTTGCCTAAAATTCGCGTTTTTTGCACAATATTACAAAATTTTTATATCTACTGCGTAAACGGTAGCGAGAAAGTAAAAAGCAAGTATTACCATGTATCTTACTAGAATAGTTTACAACGAATAACTAATTTCACTTTTGCAGGATTGAAAAAATATCGATTTATAACAAGGGCTATTTTTACGACTTTTATGTTTCATTACAAGATCCTAATGAGTGCGACCTACCCTTGAATTGCCTATATTTCCACGTGCTTTCCGTTGATTTTGTCAGTTTCCGTTTACAAATACAGTGGCATTTTAAAACCTATAGTCCATACTTCCGGCACTCCAAATCAATACTTAATGTCAACTCTCCCTGACACTGGCATTACTATCATTGCGAAAATTACATGATTTTATCATGATTTTGTAAACAAGAATTGCACTATAGTGATTGATATGTGAACATGAGTGGTAAAAACGTGAAAACTAGGCGACGCTCACACAATGTACTTATTACATCCGGTCATTATAACATCAGTTTCCTTTAGTGATATGAGATTACATCTAAACATCAACTACTCCTGCCATGTTTGCACTTTTCAAGCAAAACAAGAAAAAAGAGAAGACCAATTGAGTCGATTTATAAAAACGTTCTTTTCCGGACTGACCCAGCAGTTAACTAGTAGATTTTCAACACGTTAAGCAGTTATTCCATTACCTCAATGATACCTCTGTATGTTTCCACTTCAAGACATTTCGGTTTTCGCAGAAAACTCTTCTAACTAGAGACAAGCTCTGCTCTCCCGACATGTATGGCAGTGCAGAGCATATGGGCATGGGTGACGATAGGGCAAGAGAGAGGAAGGAAAGGTGGCCCGGTTGTTGGGGGTAGAGCATCGGTATCTTTCAAGTCTAAATTGAAAATTTATTGGATCAAGTTTCGTAAATGAAGAAAAGAAAGAGAAGAGAGGGATGGACGCACCTTTCTTCATTTCCTCCTTCCGCTCGCTGGCCTTGCGCATGTACTCGGAGCAGAAGCGCAGGCGCTGCTCGTTGCGCTGCGCCTCCTCCTGCTCCTTGCGCTCGGCCAGCCGCCGCTGGCGCTCCGCCTTCCGCCGCTCCTCCTCCTCCTGCCTCTTCTTGCGCTCCAGCCACTTCTTGCGGTTCTCCTCCTCCAGCACCTTCTTCTTCTCCTCCTCCCGCTTGCGCGCCTCCTCCTGCGCCTGCAGCACCTTGCGGCGGCGCTCGTCCCGCCGCCGCCGCTCGTGCTCCTCCTTCAGCTTCTGCTCGTACCACAGCTCCCACGCCAGCCCGTCGTGCAGCTTCCACGACGACACCGACACCAGGCCCAGCCCCACGCGCGGCGCGCGCCCCGACGCCGACGTGGGCGCCGGCGGCGGCCCCAGCCCCGTGTCGCCCGACGCGCTCAGCGCGCAGCCCGCCGCCTGCAGCCCTGCGCCCGCACGCGCCTCTCAATCGGCGGCCAAGGCCCTCGCTGACACTTTGGCTCGCGCCGCAATCTCTACGATGGCATCTCCTTGGACATCGCATTTCGGTTTTGCTCGTTCGGCGCTTCTCGATGTTTCCCCAATATTCTGCATGAATTGGACAAAGGTTCCTTTCTGTTCGGTTATAAAGTTAAGCCAGAATATTTTTATTGACAAGGCTGTATTGTATCGTTGGAATTGAGTCGGTTGAAAAATATTTTTTTCGGGTTGTACCTACGATGCATGACCTTGTGAGAAATTTGACATCTTGGAATCAGTATGGCGGCTGTTTAGAGCCGTCCAAACGGAATGTCATGGTCATAATTAGTAATGCACAAGAATTTTCTACCATTAGCTAAAAAAACTAGCATTGACCTCGTAAACCAAGAGAACATAAAAGTGATACTTTGTCTCGAAACTTTTGAAAAACCACATCGGTTTGGCATACAACTCTTTCACAACTATCAAACGAATAATGTACAACAAGAGTTAGGTTTGTATTCATACCTCAAGTTTTTTTCGATACATTCAAAAAAGTGTGCAAAGCAACGCCGACCCAAACAGGCTAATATCATAACACTGTCTTTCTTCTCAAAGTTTTAGTTTTGAGCTTATCATACGTGATTTTTCTTGCAGTCTCCATACTTGGCTAGTAAAAACACTGGAATAAGGCCTCAAAACACCACATGAAATTTGTTTCCAAATTAAGAACGTTTAGCTTTACAAAAGCTTGCTGTAATTAGGGCGCCGTTAGGGTGCCGCAAGGAGGCGGGGACTTGAAAGGCCCGGAACGCAGGTGTGCATCATTCC